AGCCAATATCGTGGCAGGCACAGGCTGTTGCAGTCATCTAGCTGAGAGTGTTTACTGCTTTATAGCCCTCTTGTTGCACAGCGTAGCGTCCTTCTTCATTAAAAGTAGCGGGGATAAAAATGTTTGTTTTGCTTTGCATCAGCGTTGGCTTATCTGGCAAATCAGCTGCTGATTTGACAGATTCTTTTGAGCTTGATTGTGTAGCACGTTTATTTTTCATGGAACAGTCCCTTGCTGAAATGGCTTCTGGTGCTACATTGACAAGCTACAGAAAATATATGTTTTGGTGCCGTTTTCACAGCAAGACTTACTCACGGTAGTAGAACACATGCATACATAGCTCTTCCAGGCACATTTTCTTCTGAAAAACTGAGTATTGGGCTGTATTTATAGAACTGCTCTTAAGCTAGAAAATTACAATCATCTACTTTTCAAATGCGTGTGGGTAGCAGGCTGCAGAATCCAAATAGAAGCTTCATTTCAGCAGAGAGAAAATCAATGACATGTTGAGATTTACAGTAAGCCTTCCCCCGGGGATTCAAACTCTGACAAACAAGCACCCTGAGCTTATGAACTTATCAAGTAGCACTTCAAATTATTTTGAAAGACAATTTCAAATTTTACTCTTTAATTCCCAAAGGACAACAATTTCAGAAGGGATGACAATTTCAGAAATTCTCAAAGATATGAGCAAGGGCTTGAAGTGCTGACTGCAAATGTTGGATTGCTAGTGGAGGTAGAGCACTGAAGAAATAATACATTCTGTCATCCAGCTCTATGTTTCTTGGAACAGACTGCAAAAAATAATTTAAAAAAAGAGCTGGTGCTGATTTAACCTGGGTGAAGAACTTCTCAATAGGAAAAAAAGCCAGGGCAAACTTTGGAGCGCACTGTATTTGATGGGTTTTGTCATCATTGTAACAGTGGGTCACATCAAACCATTGCTAAGCTCCTAAGCAGAAATAAATCAACAGAGGTCAACTGATTTCTGTGTCCTAGGTATGATCTTGAGTAACTGCTCAGTGGCTTCCGCAGAGATAGGCTTATTTCTACTTATTTGGATCTATTTGTAAGAATGGCATAATAGGAAAAATTGTCACGATCATCAGTGCAGAATACAAACGCAAAGCCTTTTCCCTGCGGTTAATATATTTCCTTTTTGGTTCTGTTGCATTTTGAAAGTATAAAAGTTTAAACACAGAATTCTAAAAGAAAAATCACTTTGTTTCAGTTTCCTTTTCTTCCATTACTCAACCATCAAATTATTGGACCTCACTTGAAGGAGAAAATATGATGGTAATGTCAGCAGCAAATTCACAATAAGAAAGTTCTTCTTTCACATCGTGTTTGGGTGGTCTGTTGCTTTGCTTATACATAATCTTCATTTTTAACTGTAATTTATTGGGTCAGATAATTTCCAAACTGTCATTTTCCTTCTATCAGCTTTGCTTAGCTGATATATATCAATATTAATATCAGTATAATATATTGAATGACAACATGCTTGAAAATACCTTTGAGGTTTGCAACCTTAGAGCCTGCATGTCAGTAGTAGACTGGATGTGTGGAGGAAAGGACAACTAGCTAGGGGGAAGTAGTGGATTTTGCACTTGCCCAGTATCCTAGCTACTGTATTGACGACAGGGAGATTACAGCGTGTCTGGAGTTTTTGCCTAATGGAAACTTTAATTAAAAGTTTGTGTTACGCCTGAAAAACTTTCAGAACAGACTAAAATCAGATGGAAAACTTGGTTAACCCTTATAGATCATGCAGTTGTTCTATTTTATCTAGTATACAGCTAATTAAAGTTGACAAAATCCTCATAAAATTGTTTGAGAAATGTCATCTGAACCTACTTGTTCAAAAATATTGAGATTAGGTGTCACAAGTTTCTCTTCTAAATTATAATAACGAGCTGCTTAGAACCCAGGGCAATATGTCAGATGTAGTCAAGCTACAGAGAAGGGGCCATTAGTTGTCCGTGCTGTATGTAATGCCTATGTCTATGCAACACAAAATTGCATTAACCTTTCAGACTTCTGCGTTGTGTTACAAACGGAGGTCTAATTAGCTTTCCACTATTACCCCTAGGTTTATTTCTGCATTGCTGATTTCCAAATTTTCACCCTTCTTGAATATCGTTATTTTGGATTTTCATTCTTCAGCTGTTAGCCGACATTTATTCCAATCTGAATCTTTTTCCCTGCGGAGACTGCTGCCTATTGTTTGCTATCCCTGGTAATGCTTTTTTTTTTTTTTTTTTATCTATACTAGTATTTGAGTTTCATTGAAACTTGGTGTTACAGCAGATTTTTTGAATTAGCATTGCTGTTTTTTCCAGATACCTATTGACAAAACTAAGCAAGACTATATGTGCTAGCAAATCCTAATAATGTGTCCCACCTTGCTCCCCACCTGATATTCAACCGTGGTCTTTGTTTATGGCTTTCAACTTGTTTGTAATCCAAACCTATGCTAATTATTTTTTTAAATTAAAATGTCTTACTTGAATTTGAATATATGAAAGCTTTTCCTCTAGCATCCAGTTCTGTTTTTACATTAAACAAGCCACGATATCGCGAAGTGGTTTAAATGCTAAAGCAAAACTCTTGAATACACAACCCCCTTTGAAAGTATTTGCAACATTAAGATGGAGTTAGACTGCCCAAATGTAGATATGTAAAATATATTTATCCGTGTATGAGCTTGTCATCTACATTCTCTTTATGGTAAAGAAAGAGAAATAAGCATATTTTACCCTGTAGTTTATAGCATCCTGAAGCAGAGGTCCGTTTGGACAGCAGAACCACGCTCAGGAAGCGCTAGCGTCTCCGTGTCTCTCCACTAACTGGAAAGAGAGCTCTGGTATCTACTTTGTAGGTCGCTAATGTTAAGTGAGGTGATTTCTGTCTTTAATACCACAGATGTATTTTCCTATTAGAATAGGTTTCTAAGTTCTTGCACCATCTTAGTAATATTTTACACTTGAATTCAAGGCATTGTGATCCCTTATCGTAAAAATTTAAAAACTACTTCATTGCCCTTTAGTTTAGAGCATTCTAGTACAAGAAGGTGGTTGTATTAAACGCGGTTTTCCCACTTGGTTACCTTCAGTTTTTTTGCGGTTCTACTGCTACCGTGTTGGGAGAAATATTTGTGCCAGGGAAGTGTGTTTTATGGAAGTGCTGCAGATTGGTACTGCATCGATAAGGAGGACCTTTGTCCGGAAGGTTTGTGTTGTCAGTGCTTTTGCCTGCTGCAGCAACTCCAACCCCCTTTGCCAGCACATTCAGCGTGTGAAAGCTTTCTCAGGAGATCGGAAAGGCTGCTAACAGCACTGATAGAACTACCACTGTGGAAATTATCTTCCCACAAGTATCATAAAAGTTTGTATTGCTGCTGCAGTAAACAAAGGCAACTCTTCTATTTTGATACCAGGAAAAAAAAAAACTTTCTTGTGCCCTTATCTTACTTTTGTAAAAGATGTACCAGCTAGAAAACTCTAATGTAATGCCTATTAACACTGGAACGAGGCATAGTTTTTCTGTGCCCGTGAGTGCTGCAGATTTACCAGAAAAAGTGAAGGATTGCAACTCTTTTTTCAGATTGGAGACTTAATTTTAATCTACCGAAGTTCTGTACGCCACAGGTATTCCTCAGTAGCGACATCTTCTGGATTTCATGTTAATCATTTAATGTCAAGTTCTGCTGCTTTTCATTAAACCTTGTTAACAGGTTGACCCACTGGGGGAAAAAGGAGTAGGTAACGAGATGAAAAAGAGTGCTCTTTTTTTTCCACTTGACTCAGTTTCTCGTGAAAAATAGAAAAAAACACTGATTGTTTTTTTTTTTTTTTTTTCCCCAACAGCATAGCCTCAGTAATTCAGCAAGCCTTTTTGCTGAGACGTACCCCCTGCAACAATTAGCTCCAGGACAACATTTTAAGAAATCTATGAAAGCAGATTAGTTAGGGCACTCCATTTGCAGAGAAGATGCCTGATACAATTAAGGAGGATAACAAATTGAGGTTTCCAGCACTGGGAATAAGTATCCCAGTGGCTCTGCCAACGAAGTGCATCTATCTGTGCTTGCTGTGCGAATTTTCTTACTTATTTCTCTTACTTCCTGTGTGAAGGTCTTAACAAGCTGATAATTATAAGCTGTTTTGGTTGTGTGCTCTGACTCCTTGGCTACTGAGATGTGCCTCTGGGTTGGTGTCTCATGTATTTGAAAAGGGCTTGGCTTCAGCCTAATGAAGATCAAAAATAGAGCCAGAACTGTGTGTGTATAGAGAGATTTCTTTTCACCATAGAATGGAAACTTCAGCCAGCTTTAATACACATCTTAGGAGAATTGATCTGCTCATGTTTTATAACACACCTGAGAAGACAAATGGCTAGTTAGATGTGGAGAATATTAAATTTGGTTCTTCAGCATAACGTAGAAAACTAGAATAAAGAATCTATCATTAGTTTTTAAGCCCTCTTTCTTTGGACCACTCACATTGTGCGCAGGAGGCATTAGCGTGTGTTTCCTTGGAAGGAGAAGTTTTCAGTTGTGCTGGACCTTCCTATGTCTCTTTATAACCCTTGTTGCAGCCCTCGGGGAACAGTCTCCAATAGCTAATGCTGTGCTGCCTCTACTCCTCCCCATGACAGACCATTGCAATCTGCTTTATTAGCATCCTGGTTTGGTCAGAGCTTCTGGGAGCCGTAATCAGCTCTCTGAGAGGTCCCTTACCTGTTTTGCAACATGCACATTCAGCAAGAAAGAATCATATCCTAGAGGAGTACTGTATCTGAATATCGCTTGTGCATATCTAACTGCAAATAGAAAAGAGAATTATACCTTTTCATTTATTAGAAAGTCTACTCTTGTATTTCATGTGGAACAATAAAGAAAAACCCCTAGACACAAGGAAATGAATACTTAGTCAATTTAACTTCACTTTCATTGATTTGCAAACAGATGGTAGAAAGACAGAAAAGATAAAATAAGCCTATAGCTGGTAATTATAAGTATAAAAACCAATTAGAATAAACAGGAAAAGAAGCAATCATTTAAAAGAAATTGGAAAGCACCTGAAATTTTCGCTTTTCAGTTGTCCAAAACTGATAAGGTTCTTTAGGCAATGAGTTGAAAAATAAAACAGGGTATGTCAGAATATGTTCTACATCCTTGCTCAGTACGTGTTGGGGAACTCCACTGAAGTCAGTGGAATTTCACAGGCGAACGCTGGCTGAGTACATCAGAGGGTTAAGATCCAGATTACGGTGAGAGGAGACCCCAAAAGCTTTGAGGCCGAGAGGAGTCTTCTGTTATAACGGCCTGTCGCGTTACACGCAGTTGTTCATTCTAAGGCAGGACAGTAGGTCAGCGCTGTAGGGAGCTATTGAATCAGCTTGTCCACACAGGAGGTCCTGGAAACAGGGGGGGAACAAATGTACACCTCAGGCAGGCACACAGGGTAGCAGAATCAAAAGGCAGCAAAGGCTGCCTTTTGTATCCACCTAAGATTATAAAAAGCCTTGCACTAAGCCTGCCTGCCTGCCCGCGTCTACTTTGAGAAATGTAAAATACATTGCTCAGTATGGTCGTTTTCTCATTTTAACAGCATTGTTTTATCTGGTCTTCCTTCTGTGCATCTTTAATGAGTAATTTTGGAACACCCCGCACAGTAAAACTTGCATTTTTTGTGTCCTTCCTGATATTTACTGAAGTCATTATACTGGCCCTAAATCTGGTGATACTGTCTCATTGCCTTTTATCTGAAAACTCTGTGCTTAAAGAAAGAGCAAAAGATGTTTATTGTTTCCTTTTTCTTATTCAAGATGGACATACGTGTCCTTGGCTCTCAAGCACGTACTAAAGGGGTAATGTAGCTCATACAGTTGCTAGGCAGAGAAGCCGCCTATGGCTCATGTACCGAACTGTGCCACCAAGGGCAAATAATGAAGGCCGGGCTCTGCTGTAGACGCTGATCCACAGAAGTTAGTGAATCTCTACTTGCATCAAAGTATGGATTGATTATAGCTCTGAGCCCATTCACACCTCATTTTTGGGAAAGAGAGCGTTCCCATTCTCTTTCTGTGTACGCAGATGCACGCGCACATACACGCCTCCCTCACTTACTGTCCGCGTGCTCCAGGCACCTGCTTTGCACCAGCTTTGCCGCTTGACACCCCTCTCTGAGCCGGTTCAACTCGCTCACCTGGCAGGAAGCTAAAATGGCAGCAGAAGTCGTCATTTTCCTGAGGCTTTTTTCTTGCAGGCTTAGCAGATTGAAACTGAGTGGAGAATCTGGCGAACACCAGAGTCGGTGCCAGGGGAAGGAAATGGTCTGCAAGGGGCAGGTGGGATCATGTAGTCTGGGGCCAAGGAGCAAGAGAACAAAGGCCGAGTAGCAGTGGGAGGAGGAAGTATTTTTTTAGCAGAAGCAAGCTTAACTATAGCGTCAAACCGTACCCTCTGCTTTCCTATGTGTCACTGAGGGATGTATTTAACTGTCAAGGTCCTTGTGTCGGTGAATGAATTCTTACAAGTTAATTTAGAGTCCAACAGAATGAAATCACTTAAGTATAATCTATATACTTAAAACAAGTTACCCTTACAGAATTACTGACCTGAACATTTGGAAGCCAAATTTTCAGCTAGCACGTAAACAAGTATTTTGCACTTTTAAGACCACATGAGAGTCGTTGTTTCCCTAATTACATTTACTGTGGCGTCTGCAGCATTCCCTTGCTTCTCACAGAGACAAGATAGCAAACACTGGTCAAAGGGGAAATATCGTGGTTGTGTAAAAATCAGATCTTTAACAACATCCAGTGCAGATGAGTTCTTTTTAGAAAACCTTGTCAGAGTCGTTTAATTACTGCGCAGTTCATGTGGCTGTTGACAAAAGGGTTTTTGAGCATGGGGACAGGAGTTTTTAAAGAACAAGAGGCACCATTTCCTGTCATAATATATGCCCTTGACTTCTTCATACTCTTACTCAGAAATATGAATTTAGGAAGATAAATCCTCCACCAGTGTAAATGCACACGGCTCTGGTGAGCTCAGACAAAGGTGCCATTTTATCCTTGGGAAAAATTACCTCTTGCAGCTGAGCCAATTGCATCGTTCGCCAGCGCTGAAAGGAGAGTTTCTGCTCCCGCTCCGCAGGCTGCCGGCTAGCCCCGAAAAAACGATTCAGCTCTAAGTGTGACTTCACCCTGAAATAGAAGTGTTTCCTCCATAACTGTGCTCCTGGTGTTAGCATGGTGTTTCTCAACTGGAGAAAAAACCAGTGTTAATCAGAAAGAAAAAAGTCAGTATTGCTCCCAGTCTAAAACTAACCCAAAGCACAGTCAGAAATGTGGAAGCACTGTAGAAGTGAAAATATCAGATAATCGAAACCTGTTGCTGTTCTCTAACATTAGGTAAGCATCACCTCTAAAGACACAGCTGCTTTTGTACTTTATTAGAAATTTGGGAATAGCTTCCCAAAAGATTTCTGGCGATGCTGAGTTCTAGAGGAGAAATAATATGCAGGTATTTAATACTTAATACTTAATTAATTTAATTATGTAATATGCAGGTATTCCTGTTTCTTTAATATGAGGACTCTGTATATCTTTAATATGAAGGCTTCTGTTATGAAGATCTAATCTTAAAATAATGCACTCTGAGTGTCTTTGTCTTATTTAGGAAATTAAAGATGATGTTTCCATTTATATGTGGCAGAACTGCAAAAGAGGGCTAATGATGCAGTCAGCAAATGCAATTTCATTCATGCTACATTGCGCTATGTAGTAAAGCTTGGAATTTATGGAGTATATTGGTTTGGTTTAAGCCTATTCCCTTTTCTAAATAAGACTTCTTACCTACTGTGAGTGGAGACTTGAGAACTTAAGAACTCTGTTGAGTAATCCCTAATTACTGTTTAAAATCGTTACCTGAAACAATTACCGTTATTAAGTTAATCATCCTAGAATTTAAAAAATAACAACAGTGGAAATTAGGAGAATTTGACCCCTTACACAGCTTAAACTCCTTATTACAGGATATCACAGTGTCTTGCTGTAATTATGATACAAAGAATCTTTCCTTACACAGAAAAACCGTACAAAATGTTACTTTCTTCTCCAACTCCTCTATTTGTTTCGAGAAAAAATCATAAATCAGAAGTTTGCTTCAACAGAAGACGTTAATAAATAGCTCCTGCTGATGCAAGCTTTTTCACTAGCCTTGTGCCACTTTCTGTTTGACAACTAAGCCATATCGAAAAATTTCCTGCAAGATGTATATTGTTTTAACCGTGGGACTTCAATGTGTAAAATAAATAATTATTTGGTAGATCTACAAAGTATTTCTGGGTTAACTAGACAATGGGGAATGTATTTTCTCTTCTTCTTCAGGACTAACAGAAAGTATATTGAGAGGTCAGCTACTATAGAGAGCAAAGTTAGAATGCATGACACTTCAAGGATGGAGATTCAGGTTAGTAGCGCAAATATGTTCCTAATTCATTTCTTTAAAACAGTACTGCAGTGCTCTTTGATACCCCTGTAATTACTAGGAACTGCAGGTGTCAGTACAGAATAGTGAGTATAATTCTTTTGAGTAACTTATACATCACTGAGGGGGTAAATCATCTGCTGTGCAGGGATTTTTTTACCTGTTGAAAATCAGACTTCCAAAAAAAAAAATCAATACTTTCTTGGTGGAGAAAGCATAGAGGTTTTATAGCCAAGTGCAGCGTACCATATTTCTTCCAGTAAAAAAAGTATCAGAAGGGGCAGTGTAGTCCCTTTCAGTTGTTAATGTTTTCTCTAGCTGTTGTAACCATTATTTTAGTGGTGATCGTTCTGTGAAAAGAAGGAATTGGTAATGCTTTTTTCTGCCTCTCAAACTTGAAAAACAGAATCTCTTTCTAAAAAAGGATCCTGTCCTTAGGTGTTGTGTGTGTTTGCGCCTGTGTGCACACATACTTGGATGATTTCAAGCTGCAAGCAGTCAGTCTTTAAGTGCGCTAATTTACATTTGACATGTGAAAGTGTGAAGTAGATATCATCTTCTTCTGACAACACCTTAGTTCCTCCCAGTTTGGTGCTCTTTGATAAAAATGCAGCTATTCAAATTATGGCCAAATGTATATTTTTTAGACTCTACTGCACATAATCAAAGAAACGAAGCTCACAATATAATATTCTCTGCCATACGTGTGAAAAGGTTAATTCACAAAAGGCTCCAGCTTTAAAAGCATTAGCTGCTAGAATGAGCCTCGTCCTCGGCGTGTGAGTTTGATCTCATGATTTAGTGGTCCGAGTTCAGAGATGTTTTCTTCCATCAAGTCGCAGACTAGTTCAGTTTCTGCCAAAACCACTTATTATTATGGTATTAAAGTTTAGGCTTCCTGCCTGCTCTGAGGACTAATAGGCAGAGGTGATTGGGCCAGGAGTTCAGCGTACCTCCCGCTCTTTGGCCGTTAGCTTGGATGCCAGCCTTTGCTGGTGGAGAATCTTTTGCTGCTCGCTGACATGAAAGAATTCAGGCAGAACTCACTCCAAGTAGTAACAGATCCGATTTATCAGCAAGAGTTCCCTCTTTCAGCAAACAACTATCCTGAGTGCTTCACCAGTGTCTTTTTTTTTTTTTAAGCATCTGGGAACCATGCAAGCGCTAGTATCTTCAAACTTTTTTTTCTAGTCTTCAGCCCAAGCTTTTGGCTTATTTTATCCCTAAGTGGTGGCCTACTTAGAAACCTTCACAAAAGAACTAGCCCTCTCCTCCAACTAGGCTTCTAATTTCTTGCTGACTCACTGGGCTATCGAGGCTCAGGGGGAATGGCTGAGATTTTACACTGCTAACTATGCAAAGGAGGATCCAAAAAACTTTCTTTGGGTTTCGCTCATTCATAAAAGGCCTAAGTTATCTCATTTATTTTAACTGCTAAAAGGCCAGCATAAGTTATGGAAGCTTCCAGCATCACTTGCATGCTGCTTGGACTGGCCTCAGCACAATAAGTAGAGCGATGATGAAAAAACATTTAATCTCTTGCCATCACAATCATGCTGTGACTAACTAGCCCCATCCCTGGAGAGCAGACATTCTAGCATTTCTAGAAATGTATAAAAATGCCGCATTCCTCCCTCTGCTGTTTTGTAAAATCTACCTTTGAGGAGGGTATTTTCTGCTTGGAGCTCTCAACGCAACAGAGCGTACCGATGAGCTCCAAGTAGAGATTCTGCAAGAAAAATCTTGGTAAGTTGGCAAATGCAATATTTTCTGTGTGAATTCAGTGAAATAACCACTTTAATTGGAGAATTCATCATTAATGAGCTACAATAAAAAAGTCAGGTTATTACTGGACAAACACATTTTAACACTCTTGCTTATCTGTTTCATTGTTTCAATAATGTGCATAATTTTCTGTTGA